TCCATGGACATCGTGGGCACGTCACGTGCCCATAGTCTAGCTATACATAGCTCAAGCCCAATTTGAGGGCAGCCAAAAGTGACAGGAGATTACCAGAGATAAACGTCAGCTCTTCAGTTTCAGGCACGGACCCACAGCTGTTGAGTAGTTTGACATGTTGCCAGATGGTATCAGGGACAGTGGGTAAAAACAGCCATTCGGCTCTCGGCTTCCATGGAAAGGGCAGGACTACCGCCAGGGAATTTTTAATGACTGGCTGAGGGACATTCACTTTGGACAGAGATCTGTGACATTTCTTCCCCGGGTCCTCAGTGCTTGATTTTTTTCCAGATTCTTACTGAAAAAAACCTCCACTATTTTCCTTTAAAAAGTAGCCCCTTCTTTTTCTTTATTTCTCAACTCATCTACCACTTTCCCTCTTCCCAAGAAAGAAATGCATCTTTCTCCTCCAAAGGCAGTTCTTGGAAGGGGTTCAACTACAGTTTTCTCGCTGTCTTTTTCCCTGGATCAAGCCTGATAAATCCCAGGAAGAGACTGGGCTTGAAACATACATGGGCGTACTGGATGTGCTGTTCTTGGAAAGCCAGAGACAGCCACCCAATCCACAGAACGTGTCTTCCTCACAGCTGTGTGAGCTTACACTCCCCTCATAGGCAAGCTTCTTGAACTGCGGTCCACACCTGTCCCACTTGTCCCCACCACCCACTGAACTCCCAGGATGCTGGCTTCCATCCCAGGTTCTCTCTAGCAGATCAACTGTGATTTACCAGTCCTGAAAGGAGAGACCCCTTGGGCTCCACCCAACCTTGACTTCCCGTAGTGTTTGATCTGAGTACCCATTCCTGCGTGACTTTGGTGTCCTGGTTCAATGACTCTTTCCCTCCCCTGGCACCCTAGCAGCTCCTCTCTTCCTCCAGAATGTGCTCAGCTTTAGCACTGGCCACCAAGGCAGCTGTCAGTGGTCAGCTGCCCTGGTGGCTTTCTCATGTGCTCACCTCCTAAGGATGTCACTCACTCTTGTACCACCACAGCTCTATTTGGGACCTCTACTCTGAGCCTGGGCTGCCGCACTCTGCACCTGAGCCCATGCTGAGTGCTCACCTCGATGTCACTGTCCTGTAGTCCATTCTGTGCTGGAAACCCTTGCTTTCACCTTCCCTCCTCACTCCAGAGCCAAGAAAGAACTACAGGTCCTGCCTGATCCCCAGTCAGATCCCCAGGTACACGAACAACTTCTCCTCACCGTGCTGCCTTCATCCTAGACCAGAGCCAGCTCCACTCAGACCAGAGCCTCGGCCTCTCCACTGGCTTCCTCGCCTCCCACCCTCCTTTGTCTCTGTCTGCTCTGTGCCCTCAGATCCACCCTCCCTAAACACTAATTTATGTTCAGTTTTCTTCTATGTAAACAATGCCCCAGTCAGAACTTTCAGTCCTAGCCTTCAAAGCATTTCTCACTCTAATATGCCTTAAACGCAGGACTCCTTTCTGGCCCCCAAATGGACTCTAGGTGAAGTATGTGCTCAAGTCAGCCGGTCTGTTCTCCTGCACCCCATATTCTCCTACCTCAACACTTTTGTCCTGTTTTTACTTCATGGGGTGCCTTTGTCATTGTGCTCTGCCCACCCACCTACTCCTCCTAGATCTTGTTGGCCCTGGCCTCCTCTCTTCTAAACAGCCCATTCATTCATTCATTCAAGACTTTTTTTTTTTGTATTTTAGGGAAGGGTCCACAGGGTGTTCAGAATCTCACTACTAGATTGGACTTGTAGTGATCCACCTGTTTTCAGACCCCCAAGTGCTGGGATTACAGGCACGTACCAACATGCCCAATCTCAATTGCCATCTCAGCGTACCCCAGGGACAGGTTTGGCACGGCAGGCCCAGGAACCAAACTCCCAGCCCCAGTGCCTGCTTGCAGGCACTTTAATCTGCTGAGCTATTTGGCCGGACCAAAGACATTAATTGTTTTGAGATTACTCATCTGCTCAAGTCCTACACTAGTTGCTTGAGACAGCGCAAGGAGAAAGACAGATGTAGAGATGGCACTTGCAGCCTAACACATATTTGATTAATAGACAACGCCATGGGAGTCCATGAGTGTTTACAAACTGAGAAGGGCTTCAGAGGAAAAGCATGGAGCACCACGATCAAGAGTAAATAAGAAGGGGCCGGGGAGATGGCTCAGTAGAATAAGCGCCTGCCTGGCAAGTACAAGGGCCTGAGTTCAATCCCTGGTTCCATCAAAAAGAAAACAATAACAATAACAATAAAAGAGTAAATGAGGGATCGGGGAGATGGCTCAGTAGAATAAGCACTTGCCTAGCAAGCGCAAGGGCCCGAGTTCAATCCCCAGTTCCGGGGGGGCGGGGGAGTAA